GCGGGAGAGAGAGAGAGAGAGAGAGAGAGAGAGAGAGAGGCAGTCCCAGTCTCTGCACTGTCAGCACAGAGGCTGACTTGGCCCTCAATCCATGAGATTGTTATCTGAGCCCTGAAATCAAGAGTCCGGATGCTCAACCGACTAATCTACCCAGCTGTCTTTGATGTAAGTGCTAATTATATGTACAAGGTACACTGATTCTTCTTCTTTTTTTAAAAGTTTATTTATTGATGTAATCTCCATACCCAACGTGGGCTCAAACTCATGACCCTGAGATCAAGAGCCGCGTGCTCTACTGACTGAGCCAGCCAGGCACCCCACTACACTGATTCTTTTCCCAACTCAGGGGGAAATGTGGGAGTGGGCTACATTCTGCGTTCGCTTCAGATGAGGCAGAAGAGGGCGCCACCTCGTGATCTGATATGTGAAAGGCCAGCACCATTAGATTTTCACCCCACCATCCCACATACTCCTTTGGACTAAGACACTGTATGGAAGACCCCAGCTGAAATCCAAATACATGGTGTGTGAACAGCTAGTATCCATCATGGAATGAGTTGTCTCTGTCCCCGGGGAAGGCCTTGTGTCTGTCACTGAGTCTGAGGGGGATAGGCACTGGTCTTGACAACGTGGGAAACTGGAGAATAGATTTTGGAGAGAGGGAGACCTAGAAAAGCTTGGAAGCCTTGCGCATTACCCTAGAGGATAAATGCTGATGAGCGTGTGTACGTGTAGGCATGTGGTCTTTTTTTTTTTAAATATGAAATTTATTGTCAAATTGGTTTCCATACAACACCCAGTGCTCATTCCAACAGGTACCCTTCTCAATACCCATCACCCACCCTCCCCTCCCTCCCACCCCCCATCAACCCTCAGTTTGTTCTCAGTTTTTAAGAGTCTCATGTTTTGGCTTCCTCCCTCTCTAACCTTTTTTTTTTTTTCTTCCCCTCCCTGCCATGGTCTTCTGTTAAGTTTCTCAGGATCCACATAGGAGTGAAAACATATGGTATCTGTTTTTTCCCTGTATGACTTATTTCACTTAGCATAACACTCTCCACTTCCATCCACGTTGCTACAAAAGGCCATATTTCATTCTTTCTCATTGCCACGTAGTACTCCATTGTGTATATAAACCACAATTTCTTTATCTATTCATCAGTTGATGGACATTTAGGCTCTTTCCATAGTTTGGCTATTGTTGAAAGTGCTGCTATAAACATTGGGGTACAAGTGCCCCTATGCATCAGCATTCCTGTATCCGTTGGGTAAATTCCTAGCAGTGCTATTGCTGGGTCATAGGGTAGATGTATTTTTAATCTTTTGAGGAACCTCCACACTGTTTTCCAGAGCGGCTGCAGCAGTTTGCATTCCCACCAACAGTGCAAGAGGGTTCCTGTTTCTCCACATCCTCGTCAGCATCTATAATCTCCTGATTTGTTCATTTTAGCCACTCTGACTGGCATGAGGTGATATCTGAGTGTGGCTTTGATTTGTATTTCCCTGATGAGGAGTGACGTTGAGCATCTTTTCATGTAGGCACGCGGTCTTAATGAGGACATTTAGGGCCCGGGATAGAGGCTGCGGACGCATAGACAGTTGTGGCAAAGGTAAGGATGATGAGGAGCTGGAGAGAACGCGTGCTGAAAACATACTCATAGCTTTGCTTGCGAGCCCCATTGAAGATGATAGTAAAACAGGCAATAAATGGCTTAATGGGGACACATCCTTAGGGACTGGCTGTTTTAAAGGATATGCGGAACAACAGTAAGGCTAATGGCTAATATTCCTCAGACCCACTGTTTGCATTGTGTGTGTGCTCTGTATAGGCCTTGCGCTAAACTCTTTATACCACTAGCCCATTTAATTATCACAATAATCCCTTGATGAAGGTACTATTGTTGGTCCTATTTTATACATCAGGACATCAACATATGATAGTGCCTGCTATTTACATGTGTATACACCTGTTCATTTGTTTGTTCATTCACTCATTCCACAAATACTGAGCTCCTGCTGATGTTGGCATGAGGCCAAGGTGAGGGGGCTACAGAGATGAATTGGGGTGTGGTCTCTGCCCCATGGCAGCCCACAGGCATGTGGGAAGAGAGATGTGTTAACAGGTCATTGCAACACAACACACATGGCATTATGATAGAGGCATAAATGTCACTTTGTCCCCCTACACCCAAGTGGCATTTCTGTCTGGTGCTTCTTTACCTCCATCGTATTGGAAGCCTTGTATCAAGGACAATGATGGGCTGGATCTCTGCCTTTATTTTCTTACAAAGTACTCTTCAAGGACTATGGCTCTGAGAAGTGTTCAGCCAAAAGTAAGGGGATGCTGCTGACTTTTTTCACTGCATTTATTTACAGCCACATTGTGAGTTTGGACTCCCTGAACCACTTGTTCCTCTGAGAAGAAGATCATTCTTTGCCTTCCATTCTTTGGCTGCCTTTCATAACCCTTCTGCTGATTTAGGCAGTGTGATTCTGTGGGTTGAGCACAGGGCTTGGGATCACACAGAC